ACCCCAGTTTAGGATGATACATAACTTCTAGTATTTTAAGGATTTTATTTTTTATAACAGTTTATTTTTACATCATTTTGTACATTTTTTTTCCATCTCAATTGTAATCCCCGCGGGTTTGCCATCACCAAGTCGCCTGTGTGCCATCACCATAATCCCGTGCACTTCCCTCCCCACCCCCTGGTTTTTGATCCCATTCCCTACTCCACCCCCACAAAATGTCTCTGGTATATGGTTGTTCATTATTCTTGTTATTTTCTCGCCTGGTCCATTATACTCCTGCTATGAGTGAAACCATCCGGTATTTTTCTTTCTCTTTCTGGCTTATCTCACTAAGCATGATCTTTTCCAGCTCCATCCAAGTTGCTGCAAAAGACATGTGTTTCTCTTTTTTGGTTGCTGAGTAATATTCCATTGTATATATGTACCACATCTTTTTAATCCAGTCATCTACTTTTGGGCATTTGGGCTGCTTCCATGGTTTTCCAGTTGTAAATAAAGCAGCAGTAAACATGGTGCAGCTATCTTTTTCAATCATGTTTTTGTGTCTTTTGGGTAGATACCTAGGAGTGGGATTGCTGGGTCGTAGGGAAGCCCCATGTTTAGCAGTTGAGGAAACTCCAAACAGTTTTCCATAGTGGTTGTACTAGTTTGAATGCCCAGTCTTTTGTTTGGGACTTCCGGACACTGTGGACACTATCTGGAGTGCAACAGCCAGCCACTTATAGCCTTAGAAATTCCTTGCTCCCCCCTTGGCTAAATAACCCCCATTGTTATTTTCCCTGAATATGAGTGGTATTACAGTTGTGTTTGCAGGTGATCTGCCCTCTACCTGGTCACTGTCCTTTGAGCGCTATAGCCCTATATAGCTCTGTTTAGCATTATTTAAGCATTGTTTACAACAGCCAAGTTTTAGAAACAACCTAAGTGTTTGAGCACTGTATATGCCTGTTTCATATTGTTCCCTAGAAGACTTGGCAATTTGTTGGCAATTTGTATTGGCAATTTGTATTTCTCTGTCTCCCTTGTTTGCTTTGGGTTTGCTCTGTTGTAATTGGGGCTTTTGTTGTCTGTGGATCCTTCTCTCCCTAGTTCTGTGTGTTACCTGATGTTGAATGCAGCTGCTGGGACTTGGGAGATCTGGAGTGGTGTTAGGGCCTGGAGCATTTCTGTGCCTGGTCCCACTGGCATGGAGGGTTAGGAGGGCTCTGAGTGGAGGGTCCCAGTGCTGGAATCTTACCCTGTATAGACATAGTAGCGCCCAGCCTGATTCCCGTGGCTGGGATGGCTGGCACCACTGATGAGTAAAGAGTGAAACACCAAAAAAGCTTATTGGCACTGCTGAGCAAGTAAGTACTGCAGATTTTATTAAAAGAATTTCTGCCAGACCATGTCAGGAGAGAGCTCCAAGATCAAAGGTGTTCACATAGACTGATTTGCTGTCTGTGAGTCTTCCTGAATGGAGGGAAGACCTGTCCGGGCTTAGTGAGAGAAGACAGGGTATGGAACTCAGAAGTTAGTCACTCAGTTCTGTTTTAATGTAACTTCTTCCCTCCCTCCACTCAGCCTATCTTGAGGACAAACCTCTTTTCTATTTTAGTTTCCCTCTCAACATTGAGATTTTTCAGCTACTCCTCAATTTAAGGTGATCCTACTTGTGTTTTTTGATTTTTCAAATTTTTGGTGGTGTGAAAGCAACACACATCAGTACAGATTATTGAGGGTGTGAGTTTGGATTGGCTGGTGACAGGCTGTGCAGTACTCGTGCTGCTGGGCAGTGGAGGGAGCCCAGGCTCTTAGTCTGCCGTGTGATCAGGTAAACATCCTTCAGACCAGCAGTGCTTGAGCTTTGTCACAGAAAGACAACTCTTAACTGTAGCATCTCTATCCTCCAGCAGTTAATTTTAGTTCAGTGTTTCATTCTTCAGGCTTAGTGTACTTTCAACCGTGTTAGTTACTGGTGAGAAACTAGGCAATCATTCTGTTTTTTACTTTCCGTGAAAATAAATTACAATGTTCAATAAATTATGTTAGATAGTCAACACTATTATAAAACAGATAGTCACCTATTAAAAAATAGGTGATCTTTTGCTTGCTAAAAGCTGATAGGAGCATATTTAAGGTAGCTACAGTATGTTTGATGGGTGTATTAAATGTATTTTCAACTTAATGGTATTTTCAATTTTCAGTGGATTTCTTTGAATGTAACCCCATTTATAACTCAAAGAAGACTTGCGTTTTGATAATGGATGTGACTTTATAGTGAAATGTCTACACCTAAAGAGAGTTTGGGCAAAGTAGGTAGAGTAATGCTCCCTCACTGACTCCTAAACCTGTGAATGTTAACTTACATGGCAGAGTCTTTGCATCACTTTTCAGTCATTTGGCTAACATCGAGTTCTTGCCAGCTTAATATCTGATACTGAAACAGGGCAGCAGGGGCCACTAAACTGGACAAGGCCACTGCCCACATAATTTACTGGTCACTGTCTGGGTTCTTTATCTGCACACTCAATTGCAAGACCACTCAGGTTTAGGGAACAACAAAGGGATTTATTTAACAAACCAGGAAAAAAAAAGCATGAGTTCCTGAGGCCAATAATGGCCATTTACTTTACCCAACGCCATGTCCAAGATTTTCCAGTCCTGCACCCTGTCACAATGGTATCTTCCTGCCACCAAGGACACAGAGCTCCTCTCCAAACAATAGGCTACGTGTCTAAATGGTGAGTTCTGCCCCTTGGGACAGCTGGCAGCCAACTATAGGCCAGATTCCAAGTCACAAATACAGCACAAGATACAATAGGAGATGCTCCCTGAGCTGCTGAAATGTCCCCCAGCACCAGACAGGTGATGCTCAAGACCACAGCTGTAAGGGCCAAACAACCCAACAAATGATGGCCATACTCACACGTGGTAGCAAAAAGCCTGGCTCCCAAATATCCTGATTTCTTCTTCCCCAGACTGCTGCTCAGTGAGTCCGCTGGCTTCCAGGTCTCCCGTTCTCTTTGCCAGGCTGCCAGTCAGACCCTTGGCTCCAGGGCCTCCCATTTTCTTTTTCCCCAGGCCTGTCAAAACTCGGATAAGGCCATGCGTCATGACCTCCACCAAGTGGTCCACTTCACAAAGCCCAGCTCCCACCATCTACCACCACCACATCACTGCAGTGCCATGGCCGCCACCCATTTTTCAGTCCCTTCTATATTTTATCAGTCGCTCCACTGCACTTTTAGCATTTTCTCTTGGAGCCCTCTTTTTACTGGCTACGCTGTCCAGGGGGCATCACCCATAACAGTTTATGGCTTCAGCCACCAGTTACAATAGGACATCTATCCTAGGAAAATCTATGTGGAATGTAGAGAAACTGAACAAAGGGTTAGGAAATAGACAAAAATTGCAAACTGACCATAGATCTGAAGGAGGGGAGGAGGAGGGGTCAAAACAGAGGAGGGAAGAGTTTAAAGGATGGGGGAGATGGATCATGGGTGCTGCGGGGATGGAACTATGAGGACTACACCTGAAGGGAGAATAAAATACTGCCACATCTTAACAATCACCTCTTAATGATGTAAGAACATTTAAAATTTAATTTTAAAAGAAAGAAAATGGTCTTTGCACATGTGATTAAGGATCTCAAGCTAGAGAGAGTAGCTTGGATTACCCAGGTGGTCCAATATAATCACAATATTCTCTTACAAAAGGGAAGTCCATGTTGGAGTATGAGAGGACCACAAGCCAAGAAATGCAGGCAGCTGTAGACGCTGAAAAGAAGCAAGGAAATAGGTTCTCCACTACAGTCTCCAAAAGAAATGCAGCTCTGTCAGCCCATTTTCAAATGTCACCAAAACTGTAAGCTGGTATGCAGTTGTTCTTTGAAGCCATCAAATTTGTAGTAGTTTGTTAAAGCAGCAAACTAACAAGCCAGATGAACTATCTAAGACAAAATTGTTTTGGGATTTTTGTCTTTATTAGTAGTCATTAGTGGTCCTCAGCCCTGGCTATATATTAGAATCACCTGAAGAATTTGAAAAGCGCATGGCACCTGGGTACCATAGCCAACTGATGTTAGAATTTCTAGCAGTAGAAGTAAAAACCAGTTTTGTGTGTGTGGTGGTGATTTTTTGTTTGTTTTTGGAAGCTTCTCAGGTGATTGTAAGGTTTAGCTAGGTCTGAAAACTTTGTATACTAAGTGTAAAGATACATGTACCTAACCCAAAGTTTTTATATCAAAGTGTGGCTCCTGGATCACCACATGGGAATTTGATGAAAATGCACATTTTTCAGCCCCACCCTATACCTACTGAGTCAGAAACCAGGAGACCCTGGTTTTCACAATGACCCCTCTGCCCAAAGAAAGCTGCAATGTAGGAGAAGTACTGATTTAACCAAAGAAACTCTGTATTGCTCTTAATTCTCCATGAAGTGTGTTAGAAAGAGCTCTTACAAGCTACTATTTAAGAAGGACCTAGAAAAACACTTAAGGTCATTCTCAGATTTATCTACTTTCTTGCCAGACTATAGTACCTTTGATGGCTGAGAATGTAAATTTTACGTGGTCTTGTAAACACCATGATTCTAGTCATACAGGTAGTAAAAGTATATGTATGTGATAGAGCTGATCAAAAATCACCCTACAGAAGTAGGTATTTTAAATAAAATTCTAAAGTTCTTTTCAGTCTCTTAACACAGCAAAGAATGATTTACAGGCACATATTAGAGATGTTTATATACATCAACATAAATGCATAGCACTATCTTATGTTACAGTAGACAGGTGTGTATAGAAAGCAATGGTTTCGGTGTCTTTTAAATCTAGTACTAATTACTAGTACAAACTTTTTAGGGAAACTTCTCTGATAAGTAGAAATCACTAGGGAAAAATTACAGGTAAGCAATGGGATTAATAAACAACAATGTTTTAAATTCATTTCTCTATTTACTATGATTTTGCTTAGATTTTTTTTTTTCAAAGCCCCATAAAATAAAACCAAATAGAACAGTTCACTGAGATAACGGAATTTTATTTACATCCTTTCCACTTAATATAACACATCTCCATGATAGGGCATATTTATTTAAATATTAAGCTCATTTTCTTCAAGCTGTGGGTAGAAGAGTCTCAGGGTAGCAGTAACTTGATTTGAAATCTAACTGCTGTAAGGATTCTTAATTTTACATACCCCTGAAATACCATTTAGGTACTCATAAATGCTTGTTTTCTAGCTAAACACAGGTTTAATTAGTTTTTCAAATACATTACCATAGCAACATATTGTTTGGGAAATCTAAACTGAGAATTGTTTAACTCAAAACTTCTGTCATTAATATGTACACTTTGACTGCCAAAAATAGTAACTTAAATTTCTTGCAAAATGCACTGTAGGAGAAAGTTATATGGATAAAAAGTTGCATTCAGAATATATTTTCTTAGTATAGTTTTTAAACTTATTAGCCTATAAGCAGTATGAGCAGTAGTAACTTATGCTTCCCTCTTTTGCCTTGTAATATATTCTGTAGAGTAAAAGTTATATGTTCTTGATACTAACAATTACATTTCTGGTAGTTGTGAATTTTCATTTTTCTGCCACCAAGAAAAGTATGCTTTATCTGTCGGGAAAGAGATTCAAATATTTCTAAAAATACTTTTTTAAAAACAAAAAGCTAAGGCTTGATTTTTCTCCCAATACAATTATTTGCTTTCTGATTTTTTTTCTTTGAAGTAAATTTACTAAGATGATTACCACTGCTTTTCAGGAAAAAAAAAAAAAAAAAAAAACTAAAGCCCTGATCCATATAATATTTGTGTAATGTCTCATTTTATATCATGAAGCATGTTACAATTTTAATTGTTACCTAAAAGAGAGTTAACCAGCTCTGTTTGCCCAACAAATATTTTACAAGCTGGATATTTAATCTTGTTAGTTCTGTGACAGTCTTGTTAGAAGGATCTCAGCAGTAGTATTGGTGTAAAGCTCAGTTATCTAGTCTTGATAAGTTATTAAGACCTCTGTTATTTGATCCAGCTTCAGATATCACTTTACTCTTTTTGCTCTGAAGTTAAATGCAGGTAAACAACAGAATGCATAAAAATGATAACATTTAAGTGGGCTACAAGGTACTGTGAATAGTTTACTAGAAGTGTCTCTTGTATTTGACCAAAAGGCCAGAGAAAGAAGGTTAGGTTAGCTGGTTTAACCACTGCCAACTGTATTATAGGTAATATTATACTTCCTTTTGTCAGCATTGCTCTTGAAACTTCATATCATCATGATATTTATTACCAATGACATAAACAAGGATATGGAATCAGAGGTGGGCAGTTCCTTAAAATGGTGTTTAAAAAAAGACTAGGAAGTAAAACAAGAGTAAACTAACATGTTACCTTTGAAAATGAAACCAGCTTAAAGTTTAAGAAACTCTAACATCTTAAAACAGAGACATCTAAAGCTTATAAGCAGATTTTTAAAAGGCCACAAAATGGTATTATGAGTTCTACACAGAACTGGGAGTTTTAATTACTAACTTGTGTGTACATTTCCCCATTTATCACTAAAGTGACTGCTTTACAAAGTTCTAATATTTAGATACTACAATGGTAGGAAAACAAGGGGGGCACTCTCCATTCAAATTCATTTATCACTTAACTAACTTTGAAATATTTGTATTAATTTTTTGCAGTATTATTTAGCAGATCACACCAGCACAAAGGAAGGAGTCTTCAGTTTTGGCAGTCGCTCTCCATGAGCACTATGCATGTTATAATATTTTTCTACAGAAATGTATGCACAAATACATTAAAAACTTTTCATACAAAATTGTACATTACATGAAGTAGAACCATAGAGTATCTTAAAGTAGAAGCACAGAGAGAATGCATGCAGATAGAGACCAGTGAGGTATAATGCCTGTGGGATACATAATTTAAGTTTTTATTTCCTGTAGGAGAGTAACATGTCTCTTCCTACCCAGAGGCAAAATATACTTTCCAAAATTACATTAAATTAAAATGTTCCTATGTATATAGATAGTAAAAGCCAAAAAAAAAAAAATCCAACACATTTCTTTTTTTAATATATAAAAATGTGTCCAAGGCAACATTAAAACGATTATACCACATCCCTAATATAGTATTATCAAGCTCTAATAAGAAGGTATAGAGAGGGCAGAAAGGGTCCATCCAGTCATGGCTTAGGTACTCTTCTTTTCATCACCCAGTAAATTCACGGCAGCTTTCTTGGCTGTTAGAAGGAAAGAAAAATAATCAAAGTTGTTTGTAACATGGGCTCTGTGCCTAATGTAGCTGCCAGGTAACAATCACACGACTCATGTTCAGATGGGAACACAGGACTGGTCTGGACTGGGAATTTCCAGAAAATGGACAAGTTACCTCTAAAGAATACAAATACGGTATTTGAACGAAGTTCTTAAAGGCCACCGAATAGGTCTGAGCTCTGAAAAAGAAACTGGTGACCCCCATGTGGAAAGGCATGTATGTTACAAGTCAAGAGAATGCTTAAAATTATAGAAAAACATTTATGTAGGTTGGAGTAGTCGTGTGCCCAGAATAGCAGCATAGGGGAGAGAGGACTGTGGGAGGCAGTGGGAGAGTGGGAGCACATCCTGGGGGGCAGCAGTGCTGCTGAGTGCTTCCCCTGCCAGGCATCTTGCCGCCTAGAGTCAGGTCACCACTTTTTTGTTAGAAAGTTCTAAAATAATTTTCCTAATCTAAGTCCATTACCTACTTTTCTACAATTTCTAAAATCTCTCTGGAATTAAGACCATCATCAGCATATCTCTGTATCCTCATCTGTGTCTCCCAATGTTTCCTTTACACCATCTTGCTTTTACAGAAATCCAGCTGTCTACTAAAGACAGTGTTTTCTCAACTGGTGATTATTGGTTTTCTTCTAAGATTCTAGTACCAGGGTTTAAAGGTTGCGTTTGTTCTTCATTGTCCCATTCAGAATCTTGTTATATCTCCTACTGGTGTTTTTTCCCCTAGCCACCTCTGAACTTTACATATGATGCCTCATTTCTTTTAAGATTTTGCTCCAAAGATAACATCATTCTCTAATAATACTCCTATTGTAATTACTGATGAGTTCAATAACCATAGATGCCCACAATACTTCGAATATCCAAACCCCTTTAGTTCTCCCCTCCCAAAACATTTCCTTCTACCTATCATCCTCTACCACAGGCACTTACCCATTGCTGCTGTGACTCCAAGAACAGTTCCTCTAATCTCAGTGCCAAGTACCACCTCCTTCCCTACAGTTCACAATCACTATTATACCAAGTCAGAGTTCCTCCCCAATACCTGGTTTTCTCCCATACTAACTTCAAAGTTCTTATTTTAAAAACTTTGTGGAGTCCCGCAAGATGGCAGCAGAGTGAAGACACTGAGCTTGCTGCTTCCCTATATTTATAGTCACAGTGAAATTGCTATTGAACAAAGTTAACCCCTCAAAGGTAGCAGACAACTATAGCACATAACAGGAGTAGTGACCCAGCAGTGAACTGTGTTTGTTCAATACTGGTGCAGTGTAAGTCACAAGTCGAGTCATGGCTGCTGAAGGAACCCCTGCAGTTGTTGATTTGGGCTCAGACCTACTTCCAGGAAAAAGGGTACACTGTTGGGGAACTCTAGAAGCAGGGTGCAGAGTGATAATTACTGGCTGGAACTTAAGGCTCCAACTATAAAACAACTGGAGCCTGAGCCAGTGGGAAGATCTAGGTCAGATCACCTGAGTAGCCTCATAGATGAGGCTTACTTGCAATCTGAGGCTGTGGTATTCTAAATAACTGCCACCTCTCAACCCAGGACCAAAACTGAGGAAACTTGAATGTTTTCATTAACTAGAATTTAAACATCTAGATCTCATCAACAGGCACAAACACCCCAGGATACAGCTCTACACTGGAAAAACATAAACCAATACCTATCTTGTTGCCTTGTCCTGTCTGGCACAATCCATGCCCAGTGTTCAAACATAGTCTAGAGGTTGAAGTTGACACAATATATTTGAAGTGTGTCGTATGTGTTTTCACACACATAGACTAGGGAGTTGTTCTGGAGGAGGGGGTCAATATGGAGCTCCATTCGGTAACTCATAACTGCAGGACAGTAGGAAACATGAATCGCTGATAGCCCTGGTGATGATCCTCCAGTGTTCTATATCCCAGTTCCTTTCTACATGTTACCCCTTGCCAGCCCTAGTTCTCTGGACACCTGAACAGATGTAAAGGCAGCACTCTGAACGTTTACTCCTGCTACAACCTGTAAAAACTAAAAATGAAGAGACAGAAACACTGGGGCAAAGAGAAGCCTGAGAGAAGTCAATTCATCAGGACTGTTCAAGGTAACATAACAAGGCTCACTGAACTAAAAGTAATAGTGGATGTAAAACAGGAACAGATTAAAGATCAAGAAAATATGAGACTGTAACAATTTGAACTAATTGATCTAAAAATACTATAACTGGGGCCTTCCGTGGTGGCGCAGCGGGTTGAGGCACAGCAAAGGAAACTTGAGCCACTTCCGCGTGAGTTCGATCCCCGCCTGCCCCGGAGGAGATCCACGTGGCGGGGCGGACCTCTCCTGGCCTGCCTGCTGCTCCCCTCAGCAGTGTACTTCGTCGATCTGCCTGTTCTGTACCCCATTCTGTCTCTGGTGAATCCTTTCGCCCTCTGCATTTCTGGCCTGTACCCCAGTTCTGTACGAATAAATAAATAAATCTTTAAAAAAAAATACTATAACTGATTTAAAAAATACAGTGCTCTTGTATTGGCCTCACCAGCAGAAAAAATGCAAGCATTGTAGTAAATTGGTGAACTCTAAAGCACAATGTCACAGAATAACAGAGAAAAATGAATAAAAGAAAATAAAAATAATGTAAGAGCCCTTGGAATAGCCTAAAGAGAAATAATGCCCATAACATGGTGTTCCCAGGAAGGGAAAAAAAAGAGATAGACATAGAAAATTTGTTTTAAGAAATTTCTGAAAACCATTTCAAGGCGGGGAATGAACCAGACATCCTGATCCAAGAGGCCCAATAAAAGTTCCAAACAAAACAATACCAGACCGGCACACTCCAAGTCACAGTAGAAGAAAACTTGAAAACCAGTGATAAGGCTAGAGTACTAAAAATATCTAGGAAAAAAGGTAACCTATAAGGGAACACAACTTAGGTTTTCTGAAGACTTTTAAGTGGAAACCCTACTGGTAAGAAGAGAAAAGCAGGGTATATTTAAAGGGTTCAAAGAGAAATATTTGCAGTCTAGCATCTTTTATCCTGCAAGAATAACATTCTAGACAGAAGGAAGTGTAAGAGTTTCACTGAAAAGAAAAAGCTAAAAGCTACACATGAAAGAAGTACTATGGGGTTATTATACAGTGACAGAACAACAAATAAGGAGGTAATAGTCACCTCAATTATATAATAACGGAGGAGGACAGCAACAATGTGGTTCATCGGCATGGGCTTGGGAATACCAATGGTTTACCAAAATAGTCCATTATATACTCAATCGCTGCAGAACCTTCAAACAAAATTCAGTAGAAGTAACAGAAAAGGGCCCTCCCTGGTGGCGCTGCGGGTTAAAGTTTAGCACTGAGAAGTTAAAGCCACTTCGGCATGAGTTCGATCTCCGCCCTGGAGGTGACCCCACATGGTGCGGCAGACCTCTCCTGACCCATTCACTGCTCCCCTCAGCAGTGTATTTCGTCAGTCAGCCTGTTCTGCTTCCCACTCGGTCTCTGGCTAATCTTCTCACCGCCTTTGCATCTCTGGCCTGTACCTCAGTTCTGCATGCATAAACAAATAAATCTTTAAAAAAAAGTAACAGATAAAACATGGAAATGGATTCTAAGCAAAACATACATGGAAGATCTCAAAATATCAAAAGACAAGCTAAACAAACAAACAGAGTAGCAAGCATTTATGTCTTAATACTACTTTAAATGTAAGTGGCCTGAATTCATCTGTGGAAAGGCATGAAGTAGCTGAGTGGATATCAAAACAATGTCCAACCTTCTCCTGTTTACAAGAAACTCACCAAGGACAAGTATCAAATTAGATTTAAAGCTTGGAAAAGACTTACAGAAATGAATGGCAACCCAAAAAATCAGGAACAGCTATGTTTACATCATATAAAATACATTACCAATTTTAAAAGGTAATAAGAGAGAGAGAGAGAGAGATTACCTTATGATTACAAGCCTAATACCACAAGAAGAAATAATACCCAAATATATGTGTACAGAATGATGGAGTACCAAGATGTATAGGCCAATTACTAACAGAACTAAAGAGAGATGTTGATGACAACATAATAATATCAGAAAATTTTAATGCTCCACTTACAACCATGGGCAAATCCTCCAGATAAAGAGTAAATGAGGAACTAGAAAAGTAGGCTTAACAAATATCCATATACCACTCCATCCAAAACTGCTATATATGCATTGTTTTTAAATGCAAATGGAATATTTTCAAGAATAGACTATATGCTGGGACACAAATCAATTATCAATAAAATTACAGTTATACCAATGAGACATACTCTGACTAGGTAAACATGGAAGAGGCCCCACAGAAAGTGAAAGTGGCAGAAAATGGAAATTCATAAGCCCTGCATTTGTGAGCAGGAGACAGACAAAAATTAGGAGAGGAGTAGAAGGGAGGGATGATGCCCCACGTCTTGGGCTGTTAGTATTGATCTCTAGTGAGCTTCCCACGTTTTTTAGCTGCCTGTGTGTCAGTCTTTAGCAAGCTACTTCCCATGCTTGTATTCAACAGATAGAGGCACCTTATTGAGGTAGGTGCACCTTTTATATTTGATGTAAAAGACCCAAGAAATGAGCGCATCAGGGGCATCTGTTTTCCCGTGCCTACCTCCTTCCTTTCACTGCAGAAAGCTTTCTGTTTTCCTTTTACTGAATAAACTTTGTAAAATTCACTCTTTGAGGGTCCATGTCCTCAGTTTTCATGACACAAGACAAGCACTTGCTGACATCTTGTAACACCAAGTACTCTTTCTGAATGTAATATCTTAAAGCTAGAAATTAGCGACATAAAAAAAGCAAGAAAGATTATAAATATTTGGAAACTAAACAATTCTTTGATTAAAGAGGAAATCGAAGTATAAAGTATACCTTGATAATATAAAGTTGGTGTCCAAAGCAAAGAAGGAAGTCCTTGCCTCTACCAAAGCCAAAACCAAAAATAAAAAAAAA